GCAAAAATGCCTTCCTCTGTGTGTGTGTGTGTGTGGGGGGGGGGGGGGGGGGGGGGGGGTGGGGGGGAGGGAGGGAGAGAGAGAGAGAGATTTTTAATAATCACTAATAATGTGCACGATGAGTCAGAGATTTCCATGAAATGTCATATCTTATGAGTAGTGTCTGTGATATATGAAACAATTCAGAAGATTTAATTAGAAGAGTACCAAAAGTACTTCACTATCTCTATAAGTGACTCTTGGGAACTGGAGACTGAGAATGTGGGCATCCTTATATCCTAGGTTCTACATAGTTATCAGTTAATAACCATTCATGAGCAATAAGAAACTTTGGCACGCTTTGACCTTTTTATGCAAATAGGTGAGATTCTGCAAAATATTTTGTAAAGGATTTTTTGTCCTCTTTTATACTCTGTCCATGGTTCTACAAATCAGATTAAAGGATTATAATATTGTATCTTGTTCCCAAAACATACAAAGTATGCACAGAGGCACCCATATACAATTTCAACAAATAATAGTATTTTTTCTATTTGGCTTCCAAGTGTATACATGAAATACTTCTACAGTCAAACCCAACTTCCGAAGAACAAACACCAAAATAGTAGTGGTGTATTCACTACTGTAAAAGCAGTGTTCACACTGTAATATCAAATGAAACAAAGAGTGCTGTGGCATAAATCAACGATGGAGCAGGACCACAGATATTTCTCCATTTGGCAAAACATTCCCAAAAGGCACCAGTTTGTTTAAAGATGAAAACTTTCATAATGAAAACTTGAAAGATGTTTGTTCAAAGTCTGGCAGGAGAGAGATCACTTGATCATTACCTGTTGGGTTCAGTCCCTCTGGGGAATCTGGCATTGGCCACTGTCAGCAGATAGGATACTGGGCTGGATGGACCTTTGGTCTGACCCAGTATGGCTGTTCTTATGTCTAATGTGTAGCGTTCTTCACCTCTGAAGATCATGAACTCCCTAATCTCCTCCTGTTGCTCATAGGCCTCCATTGAAGTTCCATTGACTTCAGTGGAATTTATACACATGCTTAACGTTAACCACATCTTTGAGTGTTCTCCTGAATAGGGTGATTTTCTGAATTGGTCCTGAAAACATGTTGATATAAGAAACATTCGTACTCACCAGTTAGTTTGCACAAATCTAAATAAATTCATTAAAAATAAAAAATATCAGCCAAAAAGCCTTGTTTTCCCATTGCTTTATTAAGAGCATTGTATTTCCTTAAAGATTGTTTCTACTTACAAATTCTCTACTTTTTTTTTTTATTACTTTGGCAGCTAATGTAGATCAAAATACATTAGCCATGTAGTGTGTTCTTAGATAACATTTCACACTGGAAAAAAACCCAGCAAAATCTAATTTCAAGAATTTGTGCCATATGGCTGTGCACTCTGCTTCATTTAACTTACTAACTGCTCCTTTCAGTGCTGAAAAAAATGATTTGAGATGTAATCAAAGCTTACCTTTTTATTTTCTGTCAAAAACGTCAAAGGAATATTCTTTAAAAATGAAGAAGAGTTGGTAATAACTTGGATTATCTGTGTTTCAGTTTTGTTATTTATATTGGATACATGTGATAGTGCTGAATAACAGAAGGACTGGAAAATGAAACTTTTTTTTCTATACTTTGTTTGCATTTGAGTTATATTAAATGTCTGCTTGCTCTCTTTTTTCCTTCTATAGCAAGTGGCTGGTTTCTGGAAAAAGTAGAAATCACAGATTCATCTACAAATGAAGTGTATTGCTTCAACTGCAGCAGGTCTGTAAGCCAATACATTAAATGTCTTCATTATTTGGAATGCTATTTTCTTAATAACATATACTGCAAACTGTACTTTATATTTCCACAATTGCTTTTTTAAAAATATTCAGTTTCAGTGTCTATTTATCCGTTTGGAAGAGGGGCCATGAGATTTATTTAGCTATACAAGGTTAAAGCTAAAAGGAAGGCTTTTTCATGCAAGTGGTACACAAAGAGAATCATAACACTAATTTAGGGGTTTATCTGAAAAAACAGTGAGGGGATTGGTTAAGATTAGTACTGTACAAGCAGTAACCCATCCTAAATCTTAACTATTAATGAACATACTGATAATTTACAGCTCTTCATAAATATGTGTCAGATAAATTGAAGCAATACACTTGTTTCTCAGAATTGAAATTTATAACTGAATGATACCTTTAGTGTGATGTTCCCTGCAATACACTGAACTCTCCACATTTTTATAAAGCTTCAAATTAAACAATAGAAACAAACACTAGTAAAGATTTATGTTTATGTGATCCTCCATTTCTAGATGCAAAATATAATTTTAATGTAGCCTCAGAACAAAGTAGTATAAACATTGCACAAGTTTCCTGCTTTTAGAGAAAGAGTCATAGTCTAGTGGTCCAAAAACAAGTTTGGGAGCCAAGAAAGTCCGATTCTGATCCTGACTCTAAATACTTCTGTGAACTTGGACAAGTCACTACAGCCAAAACATTCAAAATATCCTGTGATTTTAGATGTCTTGGTCTTTTGGATATTTAGCTTCAGACCTCTAGTGTTGAGCACCTGTAACTCCCATTGACTTCGGCTGGAGTTGTGAGTTCACAGCATTTGTGAAAAAGTCCTAGGTGTCTCAAGTTGAGCATCCAAAATTAGTGGAGACTTGTAAAAAGGTTGGCCTTACTCTCTCTTTCCCAGTTATTCCTTATGTAAAATAAGATTCCATGGTGATGGGTGTTCTAAAGAAACATGGATGGATTATGTATATAGGCATAGGACCAGGTTCTGACCTGTGTCCGTCGTCTACTCGGCTGATTGTAGTGTCCTGATTCTGAGGTTGGCCTTGGCCCCGACATTTTACAGCAGAGTCAGGTCTATGACTCCCAGGGGCCATTACACCAGCCATTACACCCTGACACAGTTGCAGGAGTAACTGGTGATTAATTGGCTCTACAACAGCTGGGAACACCCCTTTTTGCCTCCAGGGAATTCCAACCCCTTCACTATACCAGAGCAACAAAGGGGCCAGATAACCCAGGAGAATCTAGCCCATCCAACATACTTCACAGAAGGGTTGAAAGTCATTTTTAAAATTTTAAAGTTATTTTTAAAGCTTTTTGAAGACAAAAATTGCTATGTTTAAAGTAGTATGTATTAGCATTAGTATTTCCTCTGCACATTTTAACTTTGTATCCAGTCCTGTTTCCACTGAAGACAGTGACAAAGCTTCCACTGGCTTTTATTGGAGAAGAACTGGGCTATTGTGGAAATCAGGGGGCAGGGGTGTCTGTGGGCCAATAAAGAGGCATCAGATTAAAATAGTAGCATTCTTAGCCCTAGGAATATGATATCATATACAATAATCTGTTAAAATATTTTTCTTAATTTAAATTGACCAAGATTTGTGCCACTCAGTGAAATCATCTATACAGTGCTTTTTTCTTTTAGCTCACTTCTGCTCCTGTTAAAGTCAATGGCAAATTTCTCATTGAAATCAGAAGGAGCAGAAGCAGGCCCTTATTCCTTGTCTATTTGTTGGATTTCAGATATACTGTACCTAATGTACCAATTATGGGTTTTTATATTTTTCCTTCAAGGTGGCTTGCTGAGGATGAAAATGATGGACGCACTGTAGTGCAGCTTTATGCATAATTGTTTTCTAGGATTCATAGTGAATATGCTGCTTCTTCAGATTCATGCTGATTTGATTTATTTGTATTTTATAATGATGAAGATACTGTAATTATTATGGAGAACTGTCAAAACAATAGATTAAAAACATCAGTGGAGATTAAACAGGTCTAATGTGAACAACACATTGCAATCCTACTAGGAATTCTTATCAGTTTTGCACAATTGAACTGTAAATAAAGCAGAAATTTAGAGCTATACCATGGTTTTCTGAATTTGATATGTGCATTCACAGGATGGGGTATATGTAGTAGCATTTAGGAAAACAATTTGTGTTCGGTGATTTGTGTAAGTGTGTTCATCATAGTTAATACTTGCGTAAAATCTGTTTCAGGATCAATATTTATTAAAATTTCTATTTTCTCATGATCACTTTTTAAACAAAACATACACCTCTTTCATACCACCATGCATTTTGTGTCCCATTACTGCACCTGCACAAAACTAACCCATGGAAAAAATTGTCCTTTTGGCTCTATCTTTACTGAATAATTCACACCCATTATTTAGTTCTCCCTGTGTGTGCAGGCCTCCCATTGAGATTTGATGCATAATCTTTTGAAGAATATTGATACAGGAACCTTTAGATCCCACGGCTCTACCTACTGAGAAACCTACAAGAGAATTTCCATCAGCTGTCATTACAGTAGTAATAATCATTACATCCTCTTTCTGGTTTTTAACTACTGTCAAAGAAAAATCTTAACACCTTCTCTTTCCCACAATTCTGAATTGCAACATGCTCAAAATAATAATAATAAATAATGCATTTATGGCTGTATATGTTGTTATTTATGAATTCACTATCTGTTTATTTTGACTTTACCAGTGTTGCTGCTTCTAGTGTTCATAGAATAGATGGGCCTAAAACAAAATCACGAATTGAACACTCCTTGATCAGAATACAAATCCAGTTCTAGATGTGAATTTTGCAAGGTGCCACTTCCTTTTTGAAGGTCAACCCCAAATCCTGGATCTAAAACTCCTAAACTTTGGGTATGTCTACACTGCAGCTGAGAGTGCACTTCCCAGCATGTGTAGACAGACATTCTAGCTCTGCTTGAGCTAGTTTAACCCACACACCTCCTGGGTGTGGTGTTCTGTCCCATCTGGTGACACTGAGGCCACTCAGAGAGAGAGAAAGAGATTGAGTTTGCTCTACAGCTTTAGCTAATAGCCAGTTGGCTTTTAGCTCATGCACTAAGCTCCAGAGGTGCCTGGTTTGATCTCGCCTGCCGACGACCAGGATCTGTCAGCGTTACAAGTGGGGGCTCATCTGGGATTTCAGCTGGGAAGTCTCTGACGCTTGGGAGGTGCTTCCTCATCTAGGGAAGCATGTAACCCACACACCTCCTGGGTCTGGTGTTCTATCCCATGTAGTGGCACTGAGACCACTTAGAGAGAGAGAGAGAGAAAGATTGAGTTTGCTCTACAGCCTTAGCTAATAGCCAGTTGGCTTTCAGCTCATGCGGTAGAGGCACATGCACTAAGCTTCAGAGGTCCTTGGTTTGATCCCGCTTGCCGATGACCAGGGCCTGTCGGCGTTACACTAATACACTAAGAATAGAAGTGTAGTCCATGGTAGCACAGGCAGTGTCTCAGGCTAGCCACCCAAGTATGTGGGTGGATTTGTGCTCAGGCAGCTAATCCATGCCACCCTCACCTACGCTGCTATTTTTAGCACGCTAGCTCCAGCAAAGCTAGTGCATGTCTGTCTAGCTGAGCTAGGAATCATGATCCCAGGTGCAGTGTGGACATATCCTTTGCAGGATTTAAAATCTGTTTTTAGATCTGAATTTTATAGCATGGGCCTATCTCTCCTTCAGAGCACCAGTAGATTGTATGCTTTCAGTGATCACATGAATTTTGTCATAAATGTAGGTATTAAATTTATTTTTCATGTATTCTGGTGAAGTATTTGCATGGTTTCATTTTTAAAAAGTCCTGTGTTTATTTTCTCATGTCATTCTTTCAAATAAGGTATGTTGGCTGATAGGTTCATGGGAAATAAAACCACAGTGGCTATTTTGATTCAAACAAACAAACAAACAAAAACACCTCATGGGTACTGCAAGCTGAGTTCTGTTTTTAAATACCTTGTTAGATCATCATGCAGAAGATCTACTGTAGGATGTGATCTGACTTAGCAAGAAAACAGGGTCAATTTATCTCCTCCAAAATCCTCTTTGTGCTTGCATTGCTAGCATGCACACTGGAATGGATTTAAAACTGTATCCCCAGAGTGCACAGTTCAGCTACTTAGTATCAGTATTCATTACACTGAATCACTTTGTTGTGATCTACTATGTGATTTGTTTCATTATTATGTCTTTCATTAATAGTTTGTAATACTACTCTCTTTGATGCCATTGCTGATTTATCAAGTGTAAATAATGCCGTCCTAATCTGTTTTCCATTACTAACGGTGAATACCTTCTTTCAGCAGCTGGCTTCCTTATTGGAAAATGATTTGCTCTACCTGTACAGTGTACAAATAAGTGATTAGAGTCACTCCTTTGGGTGGAGGGAAATGCAAACTATACCCCCTGTGATGGCAGGGGCAGCAACACGGGAGGGAGGTGCTTCAATAAAAGGGCATGGCAGGGTACCTTCTACCTTGACAGGACTGCTTTAAATATCACAGGAGGCTTAGTAGTAGAGGCTGCCCGGAAGATGTGCTTAGTTAGTACAATTAACGTCTGACTTGGCCTCACCCACATAGTGGGCTTTACTGACTTGCTCCACGCTCCACTGTGAAGTATGCCACAGTGCCTGGAAGTGAATCAGGCTCAGTATGGTCATTCATAGTGGGTCAATTAATTTGTTTGTTTTTAAATCTCTTTCAACACCCTCCTTGAAAGTGGCAGGTCAATAGAAAGTTATAATTTCATATGATCCATTGACTTTCCATGAGATTACAGTTATGTTTACACTGCACGTGGATGCAGCAGGTAAACAAACCGGCCCGGCACGCCAGGGTGCTTACCCTGGCGAGCCGCATGCCAGAGATTGCCGACCGCTGGTATATATGAATTAAAATACTGTATTCATTCGTTGTACACTGATACTTACAGCCACTTTTGTAGACCTTTTCAGGTCCAGGAATATCTAAGGCTTATCTTGCTAGGGGGTGTAAGGACTTGAAGGAATATGACTTTGGAAACTAATTGTCCAAAGTCAGGCTCTGATTGTCTTGTTGGGCCATTTAATACTGTCATAGCTATACAGTAGCTCCCAGCACTGCACCACTGGAACCTCTTCACCAAAATGGAAAAAAAAAGTGATTTTGCCAAGTAGGTAAAATGAGTGAAACAAAAGGGAAATAGAAAGTAAAAATCATTCCCCTTTTTTCCTATTTTCCTTCCCATTTGATCTAATGTTTGCTTGCTGCTTTTGGAGTGGGCAGGGCAGTGAAAAGATTTGTAACATGGTACAGATTTTGGCTGCAAATGTACCTAGTCCCTGTAATGCCCTCTCACATGCCTGCCTCTTCTGCTATCTCCGGTTATGGATTGTCTGATCCTCCCAGTTATAATAAGTATCAAGAGCTGAATGTTAGTTGAGGTACAACTAAAATCACCCAACAAATGTACCTGATCTGGAAAAAGCTGCTTCCTTGTAGGTTAGAAGAAAAGATAGAAAGGAATATCACCCTGAAGCAAGAGGTCATGACTGTCAAAAGTATTGTCAAACAAAGGGAAACAGCTTTGGTAAAGGTATTGATCTGTGCAAGCAGAAATTGACTAACCTTACTCCGTACAAAGCTAACCTAAAGGCAGAGAGGGAACTGGAAGCAAAACCAGGAATCAAATGCATCAAAATAGATAGACCTACTTGATATAGCTAAATAAGATTGCAGGAGAGCTCATGTGTGCGAATCTAAAAGAGCTAGAGAATACCATAAAGGAAAAGGAAGAAGATATATTCTTTGGAAGATTGGAACTAAAGAGAGAATTTCCTTGACGTTTGGAGCTGAGTTGGTCAAGGCCTCCTATTCAGGAACACAGAGAACCAAGCACAGGAATAAAGCAGTTTTTCTTAAAATAGAAAGATGATTTGGGAAAGAAAAAGAAGCAGATGGAGCGGTTGAGACCTATAACAAAGCAAAAGATATTGCACCCATGAAAATACAGCCCTGGAAGAGTGAGATTTTTGCAAAGAAGAAAAAATCAGCTTTGCATGGTTTATGAAGCAGGTGTAGTGATAGCTGCAATCACAGTAATTGCCCTTGAATTATATTTTGTAATGAAGAGAATAGAATTCAGAAGTGATCTTGTTGAATGCACACTAGTTTATATACTGTGCATATACAAATTATCTTGTTATACTGGTGTAACTCCATTTAAGGTTCACCAGAATAACAGAGTGAAGAATACTTTGATAAGTGCTTCTCCAGCACTTACATATTGCTTGGGATGATTTCCATTATGTATCTAGTTGAGAAAAAGAAAAGAGAGAAACTGCTCTGGCAGTGTAAAGGGGCCTTAAAGTAGATGTAGATTTACGCTTACTCCCACTAGAAGGTCCCTTTTACACTCCAAAGGGGGCTTAGTGTAAATGAAAAAGCAGGTGCACAGTGCCAACAGCTGAAAGTGGTGAAGTATACTACTCCACTCAGAACCAGCGCACTAGCCTAATCCGGGGGCGGGGAGCGAAAAGGGGGAAAAAACAGAGGGAGATCTCTTCCAGTTGCACAGTTCCCTGGCTAGAACAGTGAATGAAATGGAAATTTATCCTGTCAAAGGAAAAAAGTCTCCTCCTGACTTCCAACACTAAGGGCCTGATCCAAAGTGCACTGTGATCAATTGGAGTCTGTTGACTTCAATGAGTTTTGGATTGGCCACTTAGGGTATGTCTACACTACGGGATTAATCTGAATTTATATAATTCGAATTTTGGAAACAGATTGCATAAAGTAGAATGTATGCGGCCACACTAAGCACATTAATTCGGCGGTGTGCGTCCATGTACCGGGGCTAGTGTCGATTTCCGGAGCGTTGCACTATGGGTAGCTATCCCATAGCTATCCCATAGTTCCCGCAGTCTCCCCCACCCATTGGAATTCTGGGTTAAGATCCCAGTGCCTGATGGGGCAAAAAACATTGTCGCAGGTGGTTCTGGGTACAGCCTCACCTATCCTTCCATGAAAGCAACGGCAGACAACCA